TCTGTGCACGTCTAACAGTCATAATGATGATTAATCATGCTTAAACTAATGCTGTTGTCTAAGCAGGGATCTGTTCTCAGCTGAAATAGTGACTTGAGTAATGAGTTTTAATATTGCACGGAGACTCAGATGAGATCTCTCCTCAACACGCTGTTTATCATGGAAGAATATTATTTTGTATTGATTATTTAATACGGCAGCAGCAGGAGTGTCAAACTGTTTTTTATTTTCGGGCTAAAAGGTACAAACCTAACACATTTAAGGGATTTGTTCGAGGATGTGGGTTTGATTTAGGCATTGATGGGGACATAACTGCAGACAACAAACATTTCATTGTTTGATCAAAATGATTGCTGGAGCAATTGATTAGTGTCTGATATAGGATCATGTCACAGCGTCTCTACTCAATTTTCTCATTATAGTCCCGATCTCAAATGATGGTTTAGTGTGCACGAGCGCGCCTTCATCCGCGTGCACGGGCGCGCCCACCTCTCAGCGCGTGCACGAGTCCGCCTCCATCCGCGTGCACGAGCGCGCCTCCATCCGCGTGCACGAACGCGCCTCCATCAGCGTGCACGAGCACGCACACCTCTCCGCGCGTGCACGAGTCCGCCTCCATCCGCGTGCACGAGCGCGCCTCCATCAGTGTGCACGAACGCGCCTCCATCAGCGTGCACGAGCGCGCCGTCATTAGTGTGCACGAGCGCGCCTTCATCCGCGTGCACGGGCGCGCCCACCTCTCAGCGCGTGCACGAGCGCGCCTCCATCAGTGTGAGAGATGCTGCCGCTGGGGTCAGACGCGGGTCCGATGCTCGGGTGAGAGTTCATGCTCAGTTCCTCTGTGTTTTCGTGTTTGAGAGTCTTCAGCCTGAGTAAGTCGCTCTCTTGTGTTCTGATAGCTGTGCTGTGGTGTGGAGACCCTGGGATCTTTCAGCAGGAGAGACGCAATTAAATAAAGTAACTTGCTTTGCTTGAACGCTGGTCTCAGAGTCGGAAAGCGCAGAAATGAACCCGTGTTGTTGTGCTCTTCAGGTGGTTTCTGGAGGTGTGAGACGGGTCCAGACTTCTTCTGAAGATGTTTTCCATCATCCTGTGAGGTCTGCTGCTCTTCCTCTTCCTCTTCACTCAGAAATGTTTATTAGATGTTTTTAAACACTTACCTAGTGAACAAAAATATTAAGTTAATGAATTAAGTTATCTCTCTAAACGTTCAAAGTCTTTTAATGTTTTAAAAACGTTCTTATTGTTGTGTGATCGTTCAGGGAACATTCCAGTTTATTATCTGTGACCCTGGAGCACAAAACCAGTCATAAGAGTCCATTTTCTGAAATTGAGATGTATGCATCATCTGAAAGCTGAATAAATAATCTTTCCATTGATGTATGGTTTGTTAGGATCGGACAATATTTGGCTGAGATGCAACTATTTGAAAATCTGGAATCTGAGGGTGCAAAAGAAGCTAAATATTGAGAAAATCATCTTTAAAGTTGTCCAAATGAAGTTCTTAGCAATGCGTATTACTAATCAAACATTAAGTTTTGATATATTTACGGTAGGAGATTTACTAAATATCTTCATGGAACATGATCTTTACTTTTACAAAGGGGAACATTTTGTGAAAATGTTCACAAACATACAGATTTGATTTCTTTCCCAAATTGCAGTGGCTGCTCTAAAATATGAGCCAGCAATGTTTCAGGCGTTTAGGACACATGCTTATTCAATAACAGTTTTATTTCCTATTTGGGTTTGTGTTTATGTTTTATTATTTAAGATGAACAGGCATTGATGCCAGTGTTTCATAGCTATGCAAAAATTAGATTTCAAAACCAGTATCATAGCTATTAAACTGTATCTGTTATGATTTTAAATCTGTGTTTAACCTCCGAACGATCTCAAAGTGAAAATATGTGCTAAAGTCTGATTTAGTGCTGGCTGTGCTTTAAAATGAAATGATTATAATCTTAAATCAAGTGAAGAAGGAGTCTGTAAGTCAGTGTTGAGCTCTGCTGTAATATTAACCCTGTCTGCTTTACATGTTTCAGAACATTAGAAGTTTAGAGAAGCCATCAAAAGTAATCAGTTACATTACTTTATTAAAGTAACTGAAATCGTTACACTTCTTGTTACATTTCAAATAGGGTAACTTGTAATCTGTAAGCTGTTACATTAACAAAGTAACCTTCCCAGCACTGGATACATGTTACTAGATTATTTACAGCTTGGTGAAATCTCTCCGTTCAGATATCAGACAATCACATGCAGACCCTGTGCGGGAAAAAACAGGTCATAAGCCAAGTTAATCGGTCAAAGATGTGTTTTGGAAACCAGTTCTTTTCTTTAGACACTTACTAGTGCTGGGAATGAAACAGACATAAAGATAGTATTTAACAGAGCAGCTGCTGACAAACACATCCAATTACATGTACAGTTAATAGACCAGATGAACCCCGAGAGAGAGACTCATGATGAGGTTTGTGGCGAGAAAGGATGACATCTATGATCTAACTTCACATCACACAGCTTTGAATCAGAAGGAATATATACAGAAGCAGAGCCAGACACTGTAAACATCAGGTGCTGAGATGGTCCAGGGACATTTTTGTCCTCAATTATGTAATTGTTCTCTGTCTTTCTCAAGCCATAATAACACAACACATTTTGAGGATGTCAAATTTTCACCCCTGCTTAAAGTCCCCAGGAGTATGAAGTTACACATTACTGATTGCAACAGATTAGACAGGATTCACATTTCTGCATATGCTGGTTAGGTATGATTTGAAGCATGGCAGTGTGAGCAAAAATGACGAGGATGCTGAAGATCTTGATGAAGACTTTATTTCAGCATAGCACTGACAAAATACATAGTGCTTTGGGTTCAAAGGAGTCCCAAATAATCTCTGCTTGAACGTTTCACACCGTGTTACATTCATCTTCCCGCTAGACATGTAAATGAAGTTTCGTCCTAATTACATTACTTAGTTACTTTTTATGGAAAGGGATGCGTTACGTTACTTTTGAGTTACTTTTTAAATCTGGGCGGGGCTTGCTTGTTTGTTTTGAATATAAAAAGTTCTTCTTCTACAAACGTAAAAGCCCTTTCACACTAAAAGTGAAGTGAATGCGCCTCAGGCTGAAGGAAATGTAAATTCTGGTCTGTACAGTAGAGGGCGCTGCTCAAACTAACTACATGAAGAATATGACGCAGGAGAAGAAAGTTCAACACTATTCAGCAATAACACAAATCAAACACAAATGTGTCATTTCTGATTATTAGTATGATTGAATTGGATCATCGAAGGTCAGCAGCGAAGACACTGAAAAGTGACTCAGATATTTCCTTCGAAATTAAAAAGTAATGGGTTACTTTACTAGTTACTTCAAAAAGTAATCTGATTACGTAACTTGTGTTACTTGACCAGCTTAAACCAGTTCAAACCAGCTGCCATGCTTCAAAACATACCTTACCAGCATATGCTGGGGGTTTTTCTCAACTATTTTAATTGTGGGTAGGCTAGTGCACTTTATTATGCTACATATTGCAGATTTTTTTGTGTGAATGTGAAAAATGTTTACCCCTCCCCCTTTCTTTTCCTTCAACATCAACACTTTAGAAGAAGACAAAGAGTGACGGATCCGTCTGTAAATAGACTTGAGCTCAGCCTCTTCTCTAATACTTTTTTCACACTTCCTCATGTCTTCATCTGAGCTGCTGGATGTGTTGTGTGTCTGATCTGGATATAAGGCTTCCGATTTTTACACAATTATGCTTTATTGTGTCTCTGCTGTGTTTATTTTCACTGGTAAGTTTTATTTGTATATTTCTTCTCATCTGTGAAATCAAACACCTTAAATATTTTATATTTATAGCACTTGAACTGAGCCTAAAGAACAGCTCTGTATTAATCTAATGTTCTGAAGCAGGTCATTTAAAGGAATGTAATGTCTGGGAGAGACGAACAATAAAAACTCAAATCATCAGCATCTGAATTCTGAATTATTAAATGTTTTATATCATGTATTTAAATAAGAAAGAGCTGTACTTTTTACATGATCTGTTTGATCCCTTATGTCTGGAAAACTTACTGAAGTGTACTATAGTAATACTATGGTATTGATTGAGGAAATTTTGAGTTTTACTCTAGTAATCATTCAGTTCTGTGCTATATGAGCAGAATTAAAGCAGAATTATGTCTGTGTCTGTGATTGTGTCTGTGTCTATGTCTATGTCTGTGTCTGTGATTGTGTCTGTGATTGTGTCTGTGATTGTGT